TCAGCACGCCGGCGCCGCGGGGGCGTGACAGCGCCAGGCCCCGCCCCTGCTGCAGCGGAGCCTGGAGAACCCGGGTGCCTGGAAAGAGCGGAGCATTATTAGTTCCGGCGCTTCAGCCGCTGCGCGAAGAGAGGCTCGTGTTTCATTAAACGAGCCCCCCGTGCCACTGCCCAACGTGCAGCGCACGTCTTACACGGCCCCGGGCCGGGGGTGAGCGGGCGCCTGCTGCCCCCTCCGTCGACACCGCTACACCCCGATGACCCGCGGCCAGCTGCTGCCCTCCGACCCTGGCCTCCCTGGCCGCCCTCTCGTGCCGCTGTCCCGCTGCAGTGGTGGTGGTCGGGGGCGCCTGTGTAGCCGTGTGATGTCTTCTCCACGAGGGCCGTCTGTCTTGCAAATCCTGAATCTCCAGAAGCTAGTCCTTCCAAGTGTAGGCGGATGAGGGTCCGCTGCCTGCGGGCAGGAGAGGGTCGCAACCCCTCCCTCTCGGATCCCATGTAGCCCCCCCCCCCGATTCTCGACCTGGTCACCAGCCAGCCCCAAGGCAGAGCAGGGCCAGGCTGGGCCCCAGGGCAAGGGGCACCAATGGGCCAGCCTTGCCTCCTGCCATTGCCCTTCCCGGGGCATTCCAGGCCTTTCCCCATCTCCCCATCCCAGTCTCATGGAATCAGCCCTCCTCAGATGTGGCCATCAGGCCATGGCTGAAGCTCTGATCCACACCTTGTCCCTGGAATCTTCCTGGGACCTGCCTGGGCCCTGTCGTGTTTGCATGAGTCACCTGCACTCTCCCTAGTCCCTCTCAGCCAAGCTACTGAAAATTTCCATTTAAAAAATTACCAAATGAGATCATTCTCTGAAGCCTGGACCTCAGCCATCTTCCTCCCTTCCCCGCTTCCTGAGGGGCACAACCACCAGCAATGCAGTGTTTTGAGCGATGCAGTCAGACTGCCCAGCGCTGAGCAGACACCAGGATGACCCTGCAGGAAGGTGACCAGACACTGGCTCTCTCCTGCCTCGACGTCACCCAGGGAAAGCAGTCCCCTGCTGTCCACCCGTTGCTTGGACCCCCACCCCCACCCCATCCACTGTCCTGGCCATCCTCACGGTCCAGGCAGCTGGGAAGGGGTAGGAGGCATGTCGTCCTCATGTACAGGTGAGCAAACTGAGGCCCAGGCTCAAAGGCCTGAGCGAGAAGGGTTGTTGGGGCGCAGACCAGGCCTTCTGACCCCACACCCTGTCTGGACATCAGTGAAGAGTGAGGCCTCTGTGAGCCTCCAGGGACAGAATGAGATGACCCAGGCACCACGCAGGCCCAAGGTGGGTTGCTCTGCATTACCTGGTGTGGAAGCTGAAAACACCTCCCAGAGGATCCCACAGCCTGGGTCCCAGCACCTGTGAACACGGGATCTTACAAGGGAGAAGGACTTACAGACATGATTAAGTTAAGGCTCTCAGATGGGGAGACGGTCCTGGGTTAGGCCATTGAATTCGGTGTCATCACAGGGGTCCTTGCAAGAGGAAGAGGGGAAGCTCAGAGTCCAAGAGAGAAGATGGCAAGACAGAAGCTGAGGTCAGAGAGAGGCAGGACCATGAACCAAGGAGTGTAGGCTGCCTCTAGAAGCTGGAAAAGGCAGGGACGTGGGTTTCCCCTGAAACACACCTCCAGAAGGAATGCAGCTCTACTGACACCCGGAAGTGTAAGAGAATGAATGAGGGCTGCATATGTGGTTATTTGCTGTAGCAGCCACAGGAAACTCAGATACCTGGCTGACTCCTGGACACCCCACCAAGGATGTGCTGCCTTGGGGAGCCATGACTCAGAGGAGGCAGCAGAGGTGACCCCTACAGGGGGGCCTGGCCCTGACTACAGGAGAGGGGTGGCCTGAGTAGTTGACCGTGGTCCCTGGCTCCCCAGGCCAGTGTCTGGGCGGACTGGGCATGGCATGGGGCACTACACGAGGTCCAGGCCTCTAGGTGGGCGGGTGAGCAGGGCAGCTGTTGAAGTTTGAAAGGTTTCACCTGCTGGGGGAGACTGGCCAGAGGGGGCAGGTCCCCCCCATTAAAGTGGGGGTGTGGGGGACCCAAGCCATGACTCCCTGAGGTGTTGTGAGGGGGATGCAGTGTGGTCAGGAGAAAGAGCCCATGTGAACTCTGCCCTGAGTCCTTAGGGTGAATCGAGGAGGGCGCCCGTCCACAGGCTTGGAGCGGGTGCTCAGCTTGAGAGTGAGGCAGTCAGAGGCCAGGGTCCAGCAGACCTTCCACCACCGCCTCTGTGTGGGAGGGCAGATGGCAGTGGGGAGGTCCCAGATGCCCCCACCCCCGTGCTGTGCCCCTCCAGCTGGGCTGGGCTAGGGCAGGGACAACAATGGCAGAGCTATTTTTGCTTGCAGTACTGTGGCTGCCCTACAGAGACATCAATGATTGATGCTCTGGGCATCCCTGCTTGCCTGGAGAGCAGCCAGCCAGGCGGGTGGGGACAGTCTGGGGGCTCTGCTGAGCAGCTGGGGCCAGCAGAGGTATGGCCAGCAGCCCCAGTTCCTCACCCTGGCCCCACTAGTGCCCTGCGCCCCCAGTACATGGGTATCTAGCCTCCGGAGGCTGCAGGCAAGCCTGAGACCCTTGACCACTGGGCTGGGGTGTGGCCCCCAGGGTGGAGGAGGTGGAGCCCCTGCATGATGACAGGAGAGAGCATGGGGTGCTGCACAAGCCCCACGGGCCACCTCCCGCCCGTGCGGGGTGACACTCAGAAACGGTGTGGGGCAAGGGGGGCTGTGAGTCAGCCCAAGTGTCCATGCTTCTGGAGGGGCAGCTATTCCCGCGCCATGCTGGGCTGCTCTGGCCTTCTGCAGTAGGGCATCTGTCCCCAGAGGGGGACGTTGGGACAGGCTGTAGTGGAGCGTGAGGCCAGGAGCTCCTTGTGGCACAGGGCTCTGCGGCAGGAGCACGGCTGGCTTTGGCTGGGGAACAGGGAGGTTGAGGGGCGGCATAGCTGGGCTTCAGAGGTCCTACCCGGGGCTGCCTTCTCTCTGTCCAGCCCTGTGATCCCGGGGCCTGGCTGGGAGGAGGGATCGGGCAGGAGGAGGCAGGGCCCAGTCTGGCTGGCCCCGGGGGTGAGGGCCAACTTGTGGGTAGTCTTCCTCTACACAGCTGCCCCCTGTCATCTGTGGGTACACTGCCTGAGGGGTACACCCTCCCAGAGATGAAACTGTGCACAGCTGGTGATGCCAGCCCTCTGCCTCAGAGCAGGCAGGAGAGGGGAGGGGGCAGCCCCTTGGGCTAGGCGGGGTCTCTGCCCTCCCCCATCCTGAATCTGGGGCCCTGAGGCAGTGCTGAGTCAATTCTCAGGCTGCAGAGTGAGCTAGGCCCCAGCAGGAAAATGTAAGCCCTCTCAGCCTTCACCAAAGTCAAGGGCACATGTGGCCCCAGGGAGGTCCCTGCCCCAGCCTTCCCAGAGCCCTGGCTGGCCAGGGTCCCCGGGACCACCCAACTGCACAGGGCCTGGGCCTGGGCAGGGACTGTCCACATAGGGGCCCGCGGTGTGCACCTCAGCTCTCTTTCAGCGGCCAGGTGAGACCCCCTCCTCTGGCCTCTGTTTATGGGGGGTCAGGGAAATGCCCAAGGCTCCATCCTCCCCTCCCTGCGTTGCAGACAGGAGCCACCACTGCCCTGGGTGCATCATGCTGGGCAATCGGGACGAGTCACAAGGGATGAGGCCCCTTCAGTTGGATGGGGGCCTAGGATCCACATGACTGCACCAAGGTCACATCCCTATTAGGGCAGGGAGACCGAGAGCTTGTGCTGATTGCACGGACTGCCCCTTGTTCCCAGGCCCGCACAGCCAGAGTCATGCCCACAGAGGATGGTCAGGCGGAGACCCCCTGACAGGCCTGGGCAGATGCCGGATACACCTGGGGGCACAGACAGCTCTCTCCCTGCGCCCACGAGTCATAGA